AAAATAAGCAGTTTCTCTGTCACCTCCTTATTTTCTCTGTAATATTGGAGTGATTTATTGTGAAATACCCCCATTCCACCAAATATCTATGTCCTTGTATTTTTAGAGAATTTACAGGAGTGGTTTTCATCTTGCCACATAAGCATTCAGCAGTTTGCTGGAAATATCTGGATCTGCAATGATTACAGATGCTTGTGCGCACACAGGAGTGCTAGCCAGGGAACCGAAATGCGACTCCAGTTTTAATTTTTTTAATGGATTGGCTGGGCAATACCAACAATATAAACTCCTTCTTATCACCTTTTTTTTTTTTAAGTATATGACACCAGTTAACCCACAAACTCTTTCCATAAGGTAACTACCAAGTAAATTACAGAAAAATAAGAAGAAACAAAAGAACAACAAGAACAAGGACAAGGACAAGAAGAAGAATGAATGAACAGAAGAAGGAAAATTTTTAGATCATTTGGAGACATTCAACTTCGGCTGAAATTAATAGACCTTGGTCTGAAACTAACATTTGACTAGTTGAAGGAGTCTCACAAAGAACAGTGCTTCTCTTTCACAACAAATCTACAAGGTAATTATTATCCATATGCCACAAAATATGAAACTAAGGCTCTAAGAAGGTAGGAGTTGCCTTTCCAGGGTCTCACACTTAGTAAGGGGCTCATCAGAGAGTTATTCAAACCCAGAGCTGTCAAATTCCCAGTCCTTCAGCTCTGCCACACTGTTTGCCAATGATCAGGGAGGAGGTCGGGAAGAGCCCTAGATCGCCATTAAGTTCTGATGTCAGATTGCAGTATTTAATTTCTACAAATATGAAAACATAGAGCTACTAGAATAGTTTTTGCTTGACTTTTTTATTCTAATGAATGTGTTGCTCAGAACTTTATCAGCCAAATTGAGCCCCAAATTGTAAAAACTTCAGTAAGATATGTAAATTGATGAAACATCCTAGCTCCCAAATATACTTCAGTTTTCATTATTTACATGTTAGTAACACAGTCACATTCTAAGGGTTTTTTTTTGTTTTTTTTTTTGTTTTTTTTTGAAGGGTTTATCCACGTCAGAGAATTCACTTTATTTAGTATCAGGGGAGGCTAAATATGTAATTTTTTTATGTCCTTTTCCTAAGCATGTATCAACATCATTTCCTTTCCACAAATAATGAAACAATGTCTGGCTTTTTTGCTACTTGGACCCAGGCTTCCCTTCCAATTTCTTTCCACACTGTTCTCTCAGTTTCCTGGACTATTCTCCATCAGTAGTTTTCCTCCCCTTACATGCCACCCTTCCAGTCTTGTGAGTTTTCTTCCTGTCATTCTCCTCCCCGTGGCCTCTGGAGTCTTCAGAGCCACCTGCAAGGCTGAACAGCCCATACATAGCTCCCTAACGAGCAAACTAGGGAAGCCGTGATCTTAAATTGGGCTCCTGGAATATCTTCACTGATAGGCTCACATTAGCAAACCCCAAACCGATAGGTAACAGGGGTCTGAGTGATAGGGTTCTCAGCAACTCCCATTTATAAGAACAAAATAGAAATAAATGAGTTACTAAATTCCCTCTTGATGTAAAATCCCCAGCTGTTTCTCCATATGTGTTCCCAAGTAAATGATTTCAAAATAAATAATGTAATAAGCGATTTATGTATCTTCAGCCAGGTCGTTAGGGTTTATTTTTATTGTTATGGCTGTGCCCCAGAGATTCACAGGGAACAAAATTATCCAAAGTGAATGATAAATGAACTTCCCCCCAGACAGCTCCCAGACCATCTGAGTTCTTCCGTTTTCCTTCAATACAGTTTCCTTAAAATAAAGGCTATAATTAAAGAAGTTCCATGAGGTCGAAGACTGGGAATGTTTTGTTTGGAATTTGTATTACCAGTGCTTTGCACAATATTTGCCACACAGTAGAGCCACAAATATTTTGTAATAATTGCATGGAATTAATAGAACCTTCATGTCCCTACTTAGGAAAGTAATATATTCTGTGTGAAGCTTTAAAACTGATAGGTGCAGGCTTTTCTTTTATATGCCCTTATAACAGTTTATCAAAAGCTTGAAAAACATGTCTTCACAGAATGCAAGAGTAGGGAAGGATCGTAATTATAACACCTTATAGACAAGAAGTCTTCTAAAACATGAAAGTCAGGGGCACAGAGGTATGAAAGTAGCTAGCCATCCAAGGCACACGGATGAGAGGACCAGGTCTCCCAAATTCTGGAATTTTTTCAGTTTCATCAATTCAATTTACTTTTATCATTAAAATGGTGGAAAGTATTACAATATTTATACCCAATACATCTGAAAATGACTGCCAAAAACGTCATAAACCTGAGTTAGGATTTTCCAATGATCAAACAACTAGCTTAACTACTTGGCAATATCCTCGTGTTTATTAAGTTTCCTCCTTCCGGATTATTCTGAACAAAGGACCAGTCTCCAGTGATTGAGACAACCTTCCATGATGAGGCCACTAAGAAGGCAGGAATCTACTCTCCTTGCCCAGCAAGGACAGTTGCACCTGAAGCATACTGTGACAGAATGTAGAAAAATTCCCAACACTCAAAACAGCCCGAAATTCCTACTTCTGAATTACAACTGTTCTTTTTTTGTTGTTGAATTACAACTATTCTTTATGAAATTACTTCTTTAAAAAAAATAGCCATTCGGCTCTAATGAAAGAGAATGGAGAAGACATCATTTGTTTCCCTGAGTGTTTCCAGAGAAGTTTAGAAAGCTCAACATGTAGGAAAATGATTCTACTGAAACTTCTTGAAGCAGTGCTCTAGATCGCCAAATAAAAACACAGGGGTGGAGATCCCAGAAATAACCCACTGCTCTGAAATAGAACCTTGCTGTCATCTTTGTGTTACCAAGTCCAGAGGTGATATAGTTAGCCAATGCAAAATTTCTTAGCCACACCTTCTGAGGCTGAAAAGATTTACACTCTACTTACCTGTATGTTATAGCGTTCTAGCTACGGCCTCTTATCCTTATGTTACCATAACCGTTATGGGGGAAAAGGCTTTTTATCCATCAAAAAGCTAGCATCATTCAAATTTGACTTGTAAAGGTAAAAGCCAGAAACGATTTCCTCCTTCTTACTACGGCAGCAAACACTGGGATTCAGTTTAGTCTATCCACCTCTCACATAAGTTGTTGAAAAGAATCTCCAATAACATGGGCACTACCAGAGGTACATGCCATGGAGATTTGTAAATTCTGATTTGCAGGCAAAAGGAAAACTCAGAGATTATAAAAACAACCTCCCCAAACTCCTCATTATCTTTAGTGAAATCACAGTATCAGATATGAATCTGTTGTACTGACGAATGACTACATTGCACAAATGTTGCTTTAGATACTAACACAAAACCACAGACGTGCAGGATGACTGTCCTGCTTTCTAAAAGGCTTATAATTCAACAACTGGCCACATGCAATAGTTTCTAAGATCATCTTTCTTGGGAAATATTTGCAGTAAAGAATAGCGAAGAGTAGGGAATCCGTTCCGAGTTTTGTTACTAGGTTATCAGTGAAAGAGGTGGAAAAAGATACGTTGAAGAGAAAATGCACAAGTAAATAAGATGACTGAGAGTAGATTCACTGCAAAAAAGAAAGAAAAGGTCATTTTTCATTAATGCAAGAGCCATGGAGATATTTGTAGGACTGCCTGGTACTAATACCATGTCCCTGCGGACCCCCGTCTTTCTCAGGTCCCTCCTACCCTCGACTGCAAGAGCGCTTTGAAAAGTGAGACTCCAGAGAAGTCAAACAAGATCAATGTTCCCATTCATTTTTGGTAACTTGGAGAAAGTAAGAAGAGTCCCAGGGGTGCATAGGTAGAAGTTCTGTCAGGAACTGAAGCCCTTGGACAGACCGGCATGAGAATAAAAGGTGAATGGAGCTTTGACAGTCAGTCTCCTTAAGATTCTGTCTGCAGTGCAGTGGATTCCTTCAAAACAGTGCCCATCGGTCCCAGAAAGACCAAAACGGAGGTCTGGCATCCCTGAATTTGTAAAAGTCAAGGGCAGCCCAATAACCTAGGCAGGGAAGAGGCAGAAGCGCTCCGGAAAAAAAGGTCTAGAACGCGGGGGAGTCGGGAGTACACCTCGAACTGCTGCGACAGACACCCCGAATGAACACAAGTTTAGACAGGGCTGGGGAGACAGCGATTCATTGAACAGATAGTTATAAAGGGTCTAACAGAAGGTAGCCACGACAAAATGAGGGGGGGAGCGCTGAAGAGCCCGGGGAAAAGGAAGTGAAGGAGGAGGTAGGGGGGCAAGAAACACCAGATGGGTTTAGCAAAGCAGGCACCGGGTTTGCCCAGAGAAGAAAGTTGAGCCAGTAAATGCTTGGGGGGGGGGGGAGAAAAAAGGCAGTGGGGTGGGGAGAAAACAAGAGGCCAGAGGTTTCATCATCCGAAAGCAAGTAAAAAAAATTATCTGACAGCCAGTTCCTGAAGATTCTTGAGAAAGGGGATGCGACACAGAAGGCAGAGAGCCTGTGGAATGCGGAGATGTCAGAGAAGGTCACACGAAGACCAAGAGAGTGTGGGAAGAAAGAGCGGAAGAGTTTCCTGGAAGGGGTAGGGGCTCCTTTGGGATCCCGCAGAACAGAGATGAAAGACCCAGAAAGGGCAAGTGCAGAACACAGTGCCTGGGAAAGTTTGGGGGAAAGAGAACAGGTGGGTGTGGAGAAGCTCTGGGGCCGCCGGGGTGACCCATACCAAGCCGGGCGCACGGCTTTTTGGCGGTGGGCGTCCAGGGCCCCAAACGAGGACCCCCGGCAGAGCGATTCTCCCCTCCCGCGCCCGCCGCGCTCTCACGCCCCCCTCCGGCCCCGCGCGGGGGTCCGGGGCGGCCGGGGGTCTGCGGGGCACCGAGGCCCGGGGCGCGGCCGGCTCGCCCCCCAGCGGCCGGGCTCGGCGCGCGCGCCCCCGCGCTCCCCGCGCCAACTTTCCCGACCCCGGGGCTCCGGCCCCCCGCTCACCGAGGGCGCCGTCAGGCGGCTGATGCTCTCGCCCAGCGAGTCCAGGTTGACCCGCCTCCGGCGCTGCGCCCTCCTGGCCCCGGCCGTGGCGGCGGCGGCGGCGGCGGCGGCGGCGGCGGCGAGCGGCGGCGGAGGAGGCGGCGGCCGGGGCCGGGGCGACGGCGGCGGCCGCGCGGGGCTCGGGCGGCCCGGGCGGGCTCCGGCTGCCGTTCCAGCAGAGCCTGGACAGGGGGCACTCCCCGTCGTCCTCGGGGCTGGTCTCCAGGTAGTCGGAGCCCAGCGAGCTGAAGGACTCGGACGAGATCTTCCTCCGAGACATGCTGCGGGCGGCGCGGCGGCGGCCGAGGCGGCGGCGGGGGCGCGGGCGGCGGCGGCGGCGGCGGCGGGGGGACCGGCGGGCGGCGGCGTTAGGCGCGTCGGGGCCGCGGGGGCTGTGCGGTGGCGCCCGGCCGGGAGGGAGTCCCCGGAGCCGCGCAGCCCGCAGAGGCGGCTGCTCATGGCGGGAACTTGGGGCCCGGGAGCGGCGGCGGGCTGGGCTAGGGGCCGCCGCCGCCTCCGCTGCTGCTCGCGCGGCGCCGCCTCTGCGCTCGCCTGGGCGCCGGGCAGTGCGCCGCGCTCCGGTCGCCGGGAGGCTGCGAGCGTGCGACCGCGGGCGGCCGGGCGGCGGGGCTGCGGCCCGTGCGGTCTGGGAGGCAGAGCTTCTGCCGCCCGCGCGCCGATCGCGCCCCCCTTCCCCGCTCTCCTCCCGCCCCTCGCCTCCCGCCTCTCTCCCCTCGCTGCCCGCCTCCCTCCTTCTCCCTTTATCGTCCCCCCCGCCCCCCCCCCATGCGCTCCCTCCGCCGGTATCACGTGTCGCCATCATACTCATTGCGAGTCTCTGCCTCGCCTGTCGCCACGTTTCAGGAGCAACGAGGACACTTGGTTGCCGTCCTCTGTGCGCCCTCCCTGCTCCCACCTTTCCCTCCTCCGAGGAGGAGCGCACGGTGGCTTGGATCAGGCCAAAGGGCCCCAACCCCAATGCCCCAGCCCCGGTCCGCGGGAGAGGCAGCCGGGAGCGGTCCGGCGGCGCTGGGCGCCGTGCGGGAGAGGGGCGCGGGGCGACGGCGGAAGACCTCCCTCCGGAGCCACTCTGGGAAGCCTGGGGGCACGAAGTGGGGGAGTTCGGGTCCATGGCTGTCCTTTCCCTGCCCTCCTCCGAGTTTAAGTTCTGAGGCGAAGGAGAAAGGCCAGTGGGTCTAGTCCGCCCATTCCGGAGGAGACGCTTCCCAGGGAAGGGAAGGGGCAACGGGTTGGCACCCATCCTGCGGTAGCAGCTCCGGGGGCTGAGCGTTCGCCTGGGTCGAGGCCGCGTGGGCTCGGAGCGAGCCCAGGGCCGGGAGGCAGCGAAGGAGGCGAAGGCTGGGCGAAAGCCCTGTTGCTGAGCGCCGGCGGGCTGGGCGCGCGGGGCTGGGGGCTGCCGCCGGCTCCGCACGAGTGCTGGACAGCTCCGCGTGCCACCTGCAGCCGCGTGGGCCGGCGTCGCGGGCTGGGGACAGTTCCTCCGCAGCCTCTGCTACCGAAGACCCGGACGGGGTAGCATCGGGGAGTGATTCCATCCCTCTCTCATTCTCCCTGCTCTGTGCGCCCAACACGCGATCTGTTTGCACTCGGCTGCCAGGGCTGCCCGAAAGCTTAAGGAGAACGGGGAGAAAGGCTTTTCCGAGCTCAGGAAGGGACTCGCCACGGCGCGAGCTCATCTTGCCGCCAGTTTGCGGCGAGGCTGCTTCATTCCACAAAGCTTGCCTCATGGCAAACCAGCAGCCGCTCTCAGCGCCCGGCCCCACTGCGTCTGCTTATTTAGCTCCAGAAAAGCCTCGGATTTCTTCTGACATTAGGGAAAGGGACGGGAAGAAGGGGCAAATAAGGCTGTCACCAAGAAGGGTCCCAGGCTGTGCTTCCCCCCGCAGCAAAGCAGATGAGGACCTTCTCCACTCCTCTGGGAAGAAAAGTTCAGGGGCTCCAGCTTCAGCTGCTCAAGGATACAGAAGCCAAAGCGTGTTTTTTGTTTGTTTGTTTGTTTTGTTTTGTTTTTAAAGAACTAGTCCTTCCAAGGTGAAAGCAGATGAAGTTGTTTTCTGAGTGTATTTACACACACACACACACACACACACACACACACCCCTTTGCTCTATACCCAACTCCAGTTTGCTTTTAACTCTAATTCTTCCCAGTTGTTTATGAGGACCCAAATAAACAGAAATGCTATTCGAGGTTTCCTTTTATATTTTGGAAAACATCCACTCAGTTAATTCAGAGACATCCCTTATTCTCAGATTTTAAATAGACATTAAGGTTATAAAAAGTGTGTGCTCTCACATGCATCCCTTCAAAAATATATATATTCTTTCTCAACGTACTGAATAAATCACTAACTGCATAGGTTCTCTTAGCACTGGAAATTCAGGCCTTGCTTTCCCTTAAAATAATGATTATTATAATTACAGTTACTATTATACATAATTATGTGTAATAATAATTATTACTATGATTATTTTGACTGTGCAGTATATCTCCTGTTGATTTTCCCATTACTTTCTTTAACTCTATATGTATTTATTTCCACTGAAAATTAGACAAAAATTATACTTCTTATCATAAAGAATAGTCATCGATTTTGCAAAAAAAAGTTTCTCTGGTCCTTTTTTCCCCGGAAATACAATGGATGGTTCTTTTGAAAATTCCATTATTCCAACTTGGGAGAAACTGTTCAATAATCTCGCTGTGCAATATCCGTCACAGCGTGAATGGTGGTTCTTAGTTCTCTTCTTTATAATGATGATGTAATTGGTCAGTTCTTCTGTCACAGCCTTTCATAGCTTCTACTAAGGATACTAAGTAACCTACGCCCTTCACACTCTTCTCCTGAACTACTGCTTGAGCGCACACACGAGCACACAAGTTCTTTCACAGTGACGGTAAATACCCGTACGCTGAACTTAAAATCAGAACATTTCCTAAACATTCCAACTCTTGCCTCAAAGTGAAAATGACTGAGTACAACAGCAATGAGCATCATTTGTTTCTAAAATCCACAAGAGGCCTGAGAAGTCTTCCTGTTTACACTGGAAGTTTACCGCCAGAAAGAACTCTGAACCACTGGGACATTTCCGCTTTATGTGAACCATTCGCATCAAAGACTCTACAGAACCTACCAGATGAAGCAGTCTCACAATTTTCTGTATAAATTACCCTGCCTTTCATCATGGTTTTCCCACTGATTTTTAAACTATAAACAAATGGAGGTCTAAATATAGACAGTAGATCATCTGCATTACTTTCAAGAGTTTCCTTTATATTTTTGTGCAGGACTAGGGTTCAAAAGCTCCCAGTATGAAGAATGCTATGTTCTATACTCAAAAAGAAATACAAACTATTCTCATAATATTAAAAAAAAAAAAAAGCCTTAAAAGGAAGAGTTTGTGCTCTGATTTTAGGAAATGAAAATTGCACAGACTTATGCCCACAAGTCTAGTCCTGCTAGATGTATCTTGCCACAATAAATTCCTTAAAGCCCAGTCTCCTACTGGAGAAAAAAAATACAGGAATGTAGTTGGTTTGTTAATGAGGCTGGTGAGGGCACCTGAGGACTCACTGCAGATTGATCAAGCACTGGAAAGGATTCCTTAATAAGAAAACAGTCTCACGGTTAATTAATTTATGACAGAGGAGCCAAGAATACACAATGTGAATGAACATTTAAATGGTGTTGGGCTAACTGGACAGTCACACGAACGGAATGAAACAAGACCATCATCTTACACCACACACAAAAATCAGCTCTAAATGGGTTAGATGTGAATAGGAGACCTGAAACAATAAAATTTTTAGAAGAAAACATAGACAGCGAGCTCCTTGACATCTTAGCAATGAATGTTTGGCTCTAACTAAAAGTAAAGGCAAAAGGGGTGCCCTAGTGGCTCAGTTGGTTAAGCATCTGCCTTGGGCTTAGGTCATGATACCAAGGTCCTGGGATCGAGCCCCACATCAGGTTTCCGGCTCATCAGGGATTCTACTTGTTCCTCTCCCTCTGCTGCTCCCCCTGCTTGTGCATTCATGTACTCTCTCTATCTCAAATGAATAAAAATCTTAAAAAAAAAAAAATAGAAACAAAGACAACACCCAAAACAAACAAGTAGGATGACTTCAAATAGGAAAGCTTCTGCATAGCAAACTATCAACAAAATGAAAAGGCAACCTACTAAATGGGAGAAAATATTTGGAAATCATATATCTGATAAGGGATTAATACCCAAAATACATAAAGTACTCCAACAACTCAACAGCAAAAACAAAAACAAACCAACCCAATTAAAAAGTGGGCAGAGATTCTAGACATCTTCCCAAAAAAGACCTACAGGTGGCCAGCAGACACATTGAAAAGATGCTCAACATCACTCATTATTAGGGAAATGCAAGTCAGAACCATCGTGAGTTGTCACCTCATAACTGTTAAAATGGCTATTATCAAAAAAGAGAAGAAACAACAAGTGTTGGAGAGGATTTGGAGGAGAACCTTTGAGCACTGCTGGTGGGAATGTAAATTGGTACAGCCACTATGGAAAAGGGTATGGAGGTCCCTCAAAAAACTAAAAATGGAATTACCATATGATCCAGCTAATCTACTTCTGGGTACTTATCCAAAGAAAATAAAAACACTCATGTAGGGGCGCCTGGGTGGCTTGGTCGGTTAAGCATCTGTCTTCAGCTCAGGTCATGATCCTGGGATTCTGCAGTCCTGCATCCTGCTTCTCCCTCTCCCACTGCCCCTGCTTGTGCTCATGCTCTCTCTCTGTGTCAAATAAACAAAATCTTAAAAAAAAACAAAAAACACCCACCACTAATCTAAAAAGATACACGTATCCCTATGTTCATTGCAGTGTTATTACAATAGCCAATATGGAACCAACCTAAGTATCCGCCAAAGGATGAGTGGATAAAGATGTTAGATAGTTATAGATATAGTTGCATACTACTCAGCCATAAAAAAGAATGAAATCTTGCCATTTACAACAACATGGATGGACCTTGAGGATATTATGCTAAGTGAAATAACTCCAACAGAGAAAGAGAAATACTATATGACTTCACTTATATGCAAAAATCTGAAAAATGAAGCAAAGGAAAAAATTAAACAAATCTCATTGATACAGAGAACAGATTGGCCGTTATCAGAGGAGGAGATAGGAGGGGGTAGGTAAAATGGGTGAAGGGGGTCAACGGCATAGTGATGGGTGATCATTACATACATGGTAATAATCACTTTGTAGCATATACAAAAAC